AGCGCTTACAACAATTACCGATTACTTAGAAAAATAAAATCATATATCATAATCATAATCAATCTATTAGTCAATGATGTTATTAAATGATATTCATTTTGTGATAAAATTGTTAAAATTTTGCCACTGGTGGCATCTGCCCTCGTAAACCACTCCCCCCCCCTTAAATACGCTACAGTCAATATGTGTGACAATATAATGTAGAATATCCGAACTCAGGATGTACTTTAAAGTTAAATACTAAAAACTTAAAACCCGAGAAGTTCTTAGTTAAAACGAAATACCTGTTGATTATCAAAATCATTACCTAATTGACTAGTAAGGCGCTTGAACACGAGGGGTATAAGTGACATTTTTAAAAAATCTGAGTTAAGAGTACAGTATTGTTCTCTTTTTACTATTTTTAGTTTAGTAATACTAAACTAAAAATATTCTATTTTATTTTATATTTTTATCATTTGAAGATCAGTGATGATATGATAATATGCTATGATAATTATATTAAATACAAATAACTTTAAACTTGATTTTTTCGAAATCAATAAAATGCCGCTTATTATTTATAAGCTTTTACTAAAAAATATATGTTTAAAAATACGTATTTTTTAAAACCGTTTAAAACAAAAAAAACACATTTTAAACATGTAAAACACATCTTTAAAACAACGGTTAAATGTTGTTTTTAACGTTTCAAACGTTATTATTATTATTATTATTATTTTTTAAAAACGTGTTTTTTTCAACCCTGGTAGTCATCAAGGTTTGTAGCACGATGTAGTTTTACATCGTAATTATTAGTTATGTCACGGTTTATAAGATAGATAGATAGATTTTTATTATCTATAAACCTTGAGACTTGAGTCGTTATAACACTGAGACAATTACAAACTTGAAATAATTAACAATATAGTGTCTATGTACAATTATACAAACTGAAGTCCCAATAAGGCGATAACTGGAAGGAAACTGGAAACTGGAAAGCATAAAAATAATAAAGTATATATATTATTCCGTAATAAAGACTATTATTATGTATATTTTTCAGCTTTATATATTTTATTATTTTCTAGGGAAGCGTGCCCAGCTTCTTAATCCGTGTGTAAAATTCGTTCCGGTGTTAAATTATATTCCTAATATCTATGTGAATTATATGAAAAATTCGTCAATTTGATGATATTATATTAAACGTGTCGAAACGAAAAAATTAAAAAAATTGAAATTAATCAATAGTTGATTGAATAATTTCTTTTAGCATTTTCGATTAATAAAGAAATGTTTCCACGTTTATACATGTTTAACAACAGATGTATGATTTCCAAACGGTGGCATTTTGTTCGAGACGTTTTTCTAAATCGACAAAACTCGCGATTTTGTGTGCTATTAATAATTATTTATTATTCGTAATGATTACGACTAGAAATGTGTAGCATTTGCCTTCATTCACAGTACTTCAGCCCATGGTTTGAAAAAAAAAAAACAAAATTTGATTAATTTATTACAGGGAGGGCGGGCAAATATAAAATTTGATGTTTCATTTTTTGGTAGGATTTCCATGATTCAAAAGCATTTATTTGTTGTAATAGTTGATGATTTTTTAAATTCATGTTTGTAATTTTCTAATGCATAATCACCCCAATACGGGGTTGTGATCATCGATATGACAAAACCGGAAAAAAAATACAAGAATATCACTATAGGTGGTCTATAAAAGAAACTGCAGCAGACCTAAACCGTCTCGTTTTGCCCGGTTATATTTTTTTCCCTGTCTACATCTCGTCATAAGCTAAAAATAAATACGTATTTGATATTACGTATTCTCTTGTATGGCAAAAAACAAAACAAACAAAATTTCAATTTACCAGCTGTTCGTGGCTATGTAAATTATTTACGCGCCGAAAATCACGTGGACGATAGGAGATTAAAAAAAAAAAATAATAAAATAAGTCGGGAACAAATAGGATGATAGCATTTTCAGGACAGTGCGCGTACGTACAGGCTCGGTTTACGATAATAAATAACAGTTTGTATTGCGACGCAAATAAAGGTCTTTGTTTCAGGACATCCGAATATTGTTGTAATACTTCGTTTAATATTATTATAATTGACTGTGTTTGTGGCGAAAATAGCGTATTGTAATACGAACAGTTTTTTTTTTTTTTTTTTTATAATATGGGCTCCCGTGCATCTGCGTGTAGTTAACAGCTGACGTCTACAACAGTAATAATACAGTGTCTAGCGTATATTATAATTAAGTGCGTTACGCGGAAAATGTTCGGCGGGATGCATTTTCGAAAAGCAAATGTTTGCACCGAAATAAAAACAAACCGCGGTACACCCAATACGATGAATACCACATTATACTCGGGTATTGTTATTTTTATGGAAATGTAGGACACAAGTGCAACCCGAACGATAATATTTCATTACGATAAGTAAAAAAAAAAAAAAAATGCAGTTGGATATGTTTACGACTGCAAAAGTGCAGCAGAGTTCGACGGCACGAATAGTGTTTTATTATTATTTTTTTTTATTTTTGTTATGAACAAAACACAAATAAAAAAAAACCATCGTTACAATATATTAATTTGTGTTTAAAAAAAAAAAAAAAAAATGACAATAATAATATTATACCTATACTCACTAATACAATTTCGAATCGTATTGTCACGCGGCCAAAAATATATTTTACGTCCTGAGCCTCGCATCAGAGAGAAACCTCCTCATTTTCTCGATATACACCGACCGACCAACAATTGGAACATCCAATTTCAAATTTACGATCCTCATTAAATTAAATTTATGTCCTATATAACAAAGTCCATCGGGTCCACACGCCGCCGTTTATGTGTGGTGGTTCAATGAACTCGTTTAATTGGTTTTATTGTCCTTTTTTTTTTTTTTTCTGCTTAATGAAACCGATCATTTTCAGGGATTTTTTATCTTCCTGTATACCGAAATAAGTAACACTGTATCGGGGATAGTGTAATAATAGGTGTGTATAATGCACGCGAGCTATTCGAAATATATTATTGTTGAGGATGTTTTGTGATGTGTACTTAATTATTGCTTTCTATTAATAGGCACGTAGTATTATTACATGGCTAGTGAGTTATTATGTATACGTTTAAATTTTTCCGTCTTGGAGTCATCGTACACGCCAGATGTGTAAAATGTATTCCGCAATCGAGAATTTAACGCCGGAACGTCTCGCGGAATATTTGATACTATTCGTTAATTTATTATAATTGTATGTATTATCATTTATCGATTCAAAACGATTCAGTCGGGTAGTTACACGAGTTGAAAAGAAAAATAATATACGTTTGCCAGCTTATTACGGGTTTTCATCATTCGTTTTCGCGCAATTCGAAATTTCAGAAGGACGTTGGTGTTTTATGAATAAGCCGGATCGAAAGTGACCGAAACGATGACAAATGGTGAATTACAGCACTTGCAGTAATTTGCAGTATACCTACTGATGGGCACTTCCGAATAGTTTATACTATAAACTTTAATGCTTTCGATAGTTGTCGAGAGTTTAGACGAACTGTCGAATATTTTTTTTTTTCCCATAACCGGATGATAAAAACTATTCGAATCGTAGTTTTCAACCGACTATATAGTCCTATTCTCGGTTTTGCCTATAGCTATAACAACTAGTGCATCCGAGAGAAGAAAATTACGGAAAAGTTTGATGAACGGACGAAATTAGCGGATCGACCGCGTGTAATCAGACATGCAAGTCCGTTGAAATCGATTATTATAAGGGGGCGCGTCGATGGGAAGACCTAGACCAAGACATATGATACGGATCATCAATAAGACGCGATTCGTGTTTGCTGTCGAAAAGGAAAACGGGCGGCAGAAACGGACGGAGCGAAGCTGCAAACCCATCCGAAGACGAGGCGAGAGTGAGAGAGAAAATAATCGTGTCGAATTATGCGAGGAAATAACAATGATTTGGTGTTTTTACGAATTCGCGGTCTCACAGACGGTTCCGTGCGATCGTATTCTCTCTATAGTACACATTCTTGCGCGGAGCATGTAGAAGAGCTGTGCAGGTACTCGACGCGGAGCATATTTTCCGAGTCCTTCGACGCATATGTACGTGAGTTAAACACGAGTGACTTTATTATTATAATAAACGTGTATGTATGTACGGATGTATACGAGTATACATTTTGAGGAACGGTGAACAGCGCGAAAACACTTTTCCGGAATTTTATAATTAATGGCGCATTGTTTTCGGTGTGGGTACTTACGGTATTCCCTTTTTTTTTTATATTTTTCGCACCAGACGCTAGGAAATTTACAAGGCACGCGCGCGCACCGCTGCAGTGTGGTGCGCTTATAATATAATAATAATAACGATGATCGTGACAGTGTTTTAAATGCGGGACGCGCGATTACGTTACGATCAAACCGAGGAGGTTTATTACCGTTGGCGCGTATTACAAATCAAAAAGTCGCCTTGTATTAAAATATCTTAAAAAAAAAAAAACCTACTTTCTCCGATGTGGTTCAAATTCGACAGGCCGAAAACTGCAATGGAGCGAACGAGCTGTGGTGCACGCGAAAAAAAGCTCGTATACGAATATTTTGATTGCGTATAAATGAGCGAGTGTTTCATTAGCCGAAATTTCGTTCAGACAGGAACGTTTTTCGTTTTTTTTTCTTTTAAAAAAAAAGCAATACACATCGTATAATATGGACCGGTTCAAGACTGTATACTTGAAAAAATATTAAAAACGAGTTAAAAAAAAAAAAAAAACAATTTTTTTTCTCTTTTTCAAAACGATTTCAATTCAAGAACGTAATCGAAATTGTTCAAATTATTGAACACTACTTACTTCGTTTTGATTAACATATTATTATAATGGTTTAACCTTATCTAGTTCTAAAGTGAAACAAGTTTACTAATTGTTGCAATTAATTCATATAAGTAATTTTATACGGTATTATAAAATAATTGTAATTATATAAACATAAAGTAACGACATATGTATACCTATACCGATAACGAACGTAGATTAACATTTATTGCATGGATAACAACATGTACAAATAACGACCCATTATTTTTAAATTACATTTTGTGGACCGATGAATCAAAGTTTACCAATAATGGCGTTTTAAACAAGCAGAATAACCGTTATTGGTCAAACGGAAATCCACATTGGGCAGTCGATACAAATTATCAAACAGTACGGGACACAAATGCGTGGTGCGGATTATTAGGAGGAAATTTAATAGGTCCACATTTTTATGACGGTACTCTTAATGGAAGACGTTATTCAGATTTCTTAACTTTGCTACCGACGATGTTGGAAGATGTCCCTTTATTACTTCGTCAAATCTTATTTTTTCAACAGGATGGAGCACCCGTTCATAATGCCATTATTGTAAGACAACAATTAAATGAAATGTTTGAAAATCGACGGATGGGAACTCGCGGACCAGTGGAATGGCCTCCACGGTCACCTGATCTAACACCATTAGACTTTTTTTTATGGGGCCATTTAAATACTGTTGTTTATGCAGAACCACCAGCAAACTTACAGGATTTAAAAAATAAAATAGCGGTAGCGTGCAGACAATTAACAAAAGAACAAATTTTGGCAGCAACCTATACAGAAGTGAGTCGTCGACTGGAATTGCGTTTAGAAAAAAACGGAGGAAATGTTGAACATTTTATTAGATAAGAAAAATAAACATAAGTCAAAACAATGTAACGGAGTAATTTTTATTTAATTACCTAGTTCACATTCTTAATTAAAATCTATGAAAAAATCACTCAATTCAAGCGTGTAATGTTTTTGGTAAAATCGAAAAAATTTAATTATTTTAAAATTTCAAAAAGCTGTAACTCATTCAATTTTAGGTTTAGAACTATGGTCAATGGATCAAAATTACTTAAAATAAAATAATCTATCCATATCCGGTGACAAAAATAGGTGTTGCGATTAAAAAAAAAAAAATTGCGCATACTACAAGAGTTAAAAATTTGAAATTTGTCCTTAAATGTGTACTTCAGTACCCCTTAGCTATTGCAGCAAACCATATTTCAATCTAAGATTATCGGGCTGAGATATTTAGTGGTACATTTAAAACGAGACACACGGTATATAGCAAAAGTGCATTTGTAACTTATTCATTATTTTTTATTTTATAGTTGATTGAGTAGTGTTCGTAGAATTTTCAAATCACTCTAAACGAATATTGTTTAACGAAAACAGTCTATGATAACAGTGATTATTTAAAAACACAACTTATTAACTGGAAAATAAATAAATTAACAGTCGTCCGTTTAATAAGATATGAAAAAAAAAAAAATGTAAGCACTGGTTTTTAAAATAATTATTGAAAAAAAGCCACTTTTAACAATCTCGAATACCTATCGTGCCATTCGAATAAAATATTAGAAAATATCAGATCATACTCCAGATATAATGTTGTTATTTTGTTTGATTTCCATAACGAGTACAATATTAATATTCTGTAATAAATCACTAAAATCCTTCACGATACATCTTTTCGGACGCGGTTTCTCGGACAAATTTCATCAAGTACCAATCCAACGAATACGCCTGCGTTAAAGAGTTGAACTAATAAATATGAAGCCAATAAATATTTTCAGTTTTCGAACGTTTCGTTAAAATTACCTGTACGCAACTTCTAAAACGTATCGGTAAGGTGACCAACTCCTATTAAAACGTCGGCATGAAAATGCGCAACAATATCGTTTAGGTATTGTAATATGTATATTATACCTATATTGTTTCGGTTAATCTACTCGAAATTCGTGTACCGTACAACAAAAACAACAACAACAATTTCAAAGTGCGTTGCAATATATTATTATGTTATCGTGATTTTAATCCATGTATATTTTTTTATCAACAATATTTCGTATCCTTATACTGTTGGTATTATGTACAGTCTCTGTAGAGTTGCGCATACGCTGTACTGCGGTTTAATTATTTATCGTACCTACCTCCCTAATAACACCTATAATATATTATTGTAATTGCGTACCGCAGGTTAAATTAAATTTCATAAAACTATCAACGACAAGCTTTTGTCGTCCTGCCGTCTGCAATTGCATTGTACAGACGCTAAGAAAATTGTACTGCGTCGCGTATATAATATACCCGTATAGGTATACGCGTAGTTTACACGGGTTTCGCGATAGCGATCTATAGGATGGACGTATCCTGACCGTATAGGTATGTATGTGCAAAAGAGGATTTGCGGAAAAGATTTTATATACGTTACTTATTAATAAACTCCTACATTGTCGGTGTTGGTCTTTTTGCATAGAATCATTACAAATAATGCGAGAACGTCGGTAACGTGACCGTTGCTGCAGCGGAAAAAGGATCTTGGGATCCGATTTTTATTTTTATTATACACGGGTATATTATAATAGGTAGGTACGGGGTACCTCGTCGCCTGTGCACACGATGATTGTCTCCTCTACGTGTTTATGTTCCTTGGAAACCAGTTTTTCGCGTCCGTTCGGGAGATTGTGCGTGCAAAATGTGTACAGTGCCTATGGTCAACGAGACGAATCGAGATACATATATATATGTGTGTATAAAGGGTGTTTATTTTTTTTTTTTTATCATTATTATCCGGCGATTATTGTCCGTCCACGAAGATTTTCAATACGGAATCGATTTTGGTTTCTTATCGTCGGTCGTTGTATCGTTCGTGTTTCATAACGATTCCATTTACGATAGCACGTTCGACATTTTACCATTATTCCGTGTTCGCCTACAAACGCATACCCAACGACTTGTGATTTTCAATAGCAATCCTCGCCCCGTTCTTTTTCAAACCGGCTCCGAAAACGAAATAATTCTTCTAAAATTATTATTATTATCATTATTTAGGTCGTGGGTTATAATTGTTTTTTTTTTTTTAAATATAGACCGAAAAACCCTCCCGTCTAAAACGAAAATAATCATTTCCATCATTATTGTTTGAAAATCGAAGGTTTATATATGTTTAAATAACACGGAAATAATTTCGAAAATATACACGGTGTAAATGCCAATCATTAAAACGATCAATTTTACGAAGAAACAATTTTCGTGGTGGATAATCGCTGGATCGTGACAGAAAAAAAAAAAAAAAAAAAAAAATCACCTTGTACAGTGCAATGTATATCTAATATTTGTTTTGGGTATCACAACGTCATCATCAGCGTACTACGATGAAATGAATCGAATTCAATTCGATTACAAGTGCGATAATTATACGCCTAGTTGTTAAAAATAAAAAAAAAAAAATCAAAGTTCAAAAATACATACGTAAATAAAATATTTTTTCCCGACCGTTTTATGCGTTTATGCGTCTCGTAATAACATCTTTTCGCGGTAACGTGCGAGTACATATCATCTGAATACTATGTCGATTTTTATGCACGGGTACCCGTACAACCGTAACCCAAGTATCCATCTGAACGATCAAATTACCCGCATATAACATAATAATATTATCTGGTAATTTTGTACAATACGGATAAAATAATCCGCAACAATGTTTTTCGCGGTAATATAAAAAAACTATATATCAATATTTATTACGTAATCAATTCATATAATGAAACAGATAATACAATTGTAAGTGTGTGTACTTTTTTTTTTTTTCTCTACGTTATTCCGTAAATTTTTTTCCCCGCGATTTATTGCGTTTCCCCTCTCACCTCCTTCCCCACTCCCGCGCCGAGTACAATGACATTATGCGCATACAGGTATACGTACGTACTTTTATTATCAGTGATATAGTAGTGCATACCTGCAGTCGTTATAAATATAATAATATAAAACGATATTTTATCACAACAATTAGAGATGGAAAAAAACGGTTTTTTTTTCATTTTTACTCGCGTTTTCTTATTTAAGGTTTATACACATTGCAGGTATTATTGCGCAAAGTGATTTACATTTTCGTCAAAATTCAAAAGTTATTTCAGAACATTTTTTTTTTTTTTTATAATCTCTCAGATTTGTACAACATTGGCTGTCAATCCAATATAATGCCATTATTAATTTTTACCCATTTAAATAATAATAAAAATTGTATAAAGAGATTTAAAAAAAAAAAAAAAAAAACTAATTATAATTAATAATTATTACAGCCGAAAATAAACTATTTATAATACAAAAATCTTAAATCAATAATATTAAAAGACATATTATAATAATTATGCACGTTTTATTAGGAAGTAAACGTGTACCGGGCGTTCTTTTGAGAACAACTGAGAATTGAGAAAAACGTAGTTGGGCTGGTTTCGAAAATACTGAAAAATGATAAATTTTTTATCTTCTGATTATAAGTCCATAATCATAATCATTCATAACCAAATATAGGTAAATAAACGATTCGATGAATATAGACAAATATCGTGTCGTTTTCGAGATGCACATTTTACCAGGTTTCACGAACGCGTTTTTGGAATTTTTGAAAGTTGAACTTAATCTAGTGGTTTTTTTTTTTTATAAGCGTTATTATATTAAAATTCAAATTTAATGAATTTTAAAATTACGATATTTCGCGTTATGTACATAGTGTCACTTTATTGTCCGGGAAAATATTTTATTTTTCGGAATTTTGTTCTTTTGACAATTTATACAACAAGCAGCTCTAAAACGTTAAATTACAGTTTTTTTTGTCACCTTTGTTTTTTGTGAGTGAAACCTCGTGCTGATTTCGATTTTCAAACTACAAACTATATTTAAATGCCTATAAATCGATACGAAGTATTAGTTTAAATATATTTTGGCGTTGGCATTATTAATTTCCGTCGTGTATTGTTCATCTTGTACTCCGATATATCATAGTGTGATGGATAATTTTTTTCGCCCAGAAAAAATGCTTGTAAATTTAACATAAGTTTCACCATAACTTGTTTTATTTAGTCGCAAACATTTTTTTCTATAAGCATTCAAATTTAAAACTGTGATGTAAATCGTTAAAATCGTGGAATTCCAAATCCAACACGTTTTATCGAGCTTTACTCTCAGAATCGTTTTCCGTTAATAATGATTGTCATCGAGTGCATACATAAATCGCATAGTTATCTATAATGCAGCATATTGACCAAACTTCCACTGTTCAACCTTCACAATATACAGCATCCGTGAGCGGTAACGGCTAATTTTTTAGGATTTCAAATTTTAAAATGATAAAAACTGTTGACGCAATGATTCGACATTTATCATCCTATACCCGCGCATATTACGTTATTATATTCGAAAGTTCAATTTTTCAAGAACCATTTGGGCACTCCACTGAAATTCCGCGGTGGATTAAAATTGTGAACATATATTATGGCATTATTGTCGTGCGTCATATCTGCTCGTAAACGCGTAGGTAGGTTAGGTTAGGTCATGATAATAATAATGCGCGGCAAAAAAAAAAACAAAAATCATAATTTAAAAAAAAAACCTATAAAATATACAATTACACGATTACGCGAAAAAACTACGAAAACTTCGAAATTAATTTTTGAATACGAGTATATTTTTGATCCCAGGTAAGAAGGATTCAAATAATTTTTTTTTTTTATAATTTTCGGTACAAGCGAATAATATAATATATACCTACGCATATAGACCTAAAAAAATAAGAGACAAAAATTGCATTTGACAAAATGAACAAAATGTAGTATGTATAAAGTCGAAAAACGATTCCG